AAAGGCCACATTCTCACTGACCGTGCTTCGTTAACATAGGATCTTTATGTCTCTCACCTCCATATCAAATCCACACCCCGGCAACCACAGTTCGCCATTCATCTCCCCTTGTTGAACCTCTTTTTTGAGTGAAAATTATCGTTCTGTCTGTACGTCGCAGGTTTTGTACGAAACATGTGCTGATGTTTAAGAATGACGCTGTAAATGTAAATAATATACTTGTATTAATATGTCTTTCATACGTTAGGGCGAAATATTTCTTTTGTTTAATAAACGCTTTAACATCTACCCTTCAACATTTTCTTCGAAAGAAAATAGATCGTTCGCGTGAAACCATGGATACTTTTTCATAACGCTGTTATTCTAGGATGTACAAAGAACTGTCAAGCATGAATGATAAACTTCAAGACTAAACGAGATCGCAAGAGTTGACCTGATAAAACTTTTTAATCAAATTAAAGACACATGCATATGCAATCCTTTCTCTCCCATCCTAGCAGAAAATTTCCTGATCACTTTGAAAATGTGGTCTTGGACATAAGCTCTATAGCTCATCGATGCTAGTTTCTTCCAAAGATTTGTAGCAAACAATTTTGTGATCTGTTCTAAAGGTGATAACACAGAAGTCTTCTTTCCACTTTTCATGTTTTGATAATTAATTCTGATAACTCTCATGAACGGAACTACTTACTAACTGAATGAGTAGTCAGTCAGTTTCGATGACCTTTATCATTTTGGGTCGCGGACATAGCGTCAGATTGTCAGTGCTGCAAAATCCCCGATCCTCCAGCAGCGTCTCAGCTTCGGTAAAACTAACCAAATAAATATCTACATTTTAGTTTCAGTAACCATATGAATAAATCTCGATTAGTTACAACGTTGACGGATCTTGTAGCAGCCGGCTGATGTTTGCGGCTGCGGTGAGGGGCCATCCTGTTAGCACTTGGAGATTTGCCTGCATGTGTAGATGAGATTCACCGTTGCCTGATTTTACGAATTTATTCTCCATTATGAATAAACACTACACAGCAACAGTTCACACGACTGAAGTTATGTGCACAGCCTGAGTTATTGCGACCAACATTATCTTTAACGATGGACTGATTTTTTCATATATCTCTGAACAATAAATCTAATATTCTGTTACCACTTGGACGTTTCCCACATGGGGCTATCATGGTCGGTCAGTGGGAAAATAAGTTTTCATCAAGACCGTCACGTCCTTCAAACCTTCTGAAACTCTCTTCATTGGTTCGTGGCCATGAGCCACTGCGTTTCGTTTCGCTGCATTCCACACCATTTACAACACGTGTGCGATCAGCGGCTTACATCCACTAGATGGTTTAGTTTACTGTACCATGAAATTTGACTTGATCTTTCTCTGGTCATTAAAGAGATTAACACTGAAGTGGAGAGGCATATCTCTGGCAAGAAATAGTATCTCTACCTATTTGCTTTTCGAACGCAGTAGAAATTATTAAAAATTTTATCACCCCCTTTCCACCGGCAAATACACAAAGTTTAAGCTCCGCACCAGTTGACTCATCCGTAAACCTTTGCTTCGCTAAGTAAAATACAAGACTGTTTTGAGTTGATGGAATGATCCAATCGATATTAATTGTATAATTTATACCAAAGTTAATTTTTCACCAATGACGCCAAAGCACTGATTTTAGCCACCTGTTAAAGACGCATTTGACGCCATCATATATCAGCGGCTGATCGCCGATGAACAGGCTCAGCGTAATCGCACGGAAGAAAATGTCGACGCGAAAGGTGCCTATCCTCCGGAACTGCTTCGGAGATAGTAGGCTACATTTTTTTATTTAGCTTAATTTTTTTCGTGATTACAAAAGATAATGATCATTCAGTTAGGACTTCTTTAGTTAGGCTCAACAACCTGCAAACTGTGCTCAAAAAGAGCACGACCAACATCCAACAATTTCAGTGATAAGACGGTAATAATGGTCACTTAATCAAGTCCTAAGTCGATATGGTATCCGCAAAGTTCACCGACTGGAAAATTCACCGACTCGCAATTCATCGAATGGAAAATTCACCGATTCTACAATTGATCGCCGACGATTTATCTATGATGATTATAAAACAGTATTATTTAGAAATAGCATATTTTAAAGCTTATGTTAATGAGCACAATAATTACCATACTTAACCCCTGTATAAAGCCTAAAAAATTCTGAGGTCAGTTTCAAAAGACTTCTTCGAGTGTAATACTTCAGTTGCGAATTTTCATTAACCGTGATGGCCCTTCTGTTCGACACGAGTGAAAAGGGAAAGCAGAAACTTTTAGTGGACGGTCACTTATTTTTCAAAGAAAAACGAGCTGATAAGACATATTGTAAGTGTAAGATGTATCAGCACAAGTGCCGGGTTCTTGTAGTAACAGTTGGAGATGCCACTGAGGCGGTGAAGGGAGTTCACAACCATATTGGGGATGTAGCTCATATAGAAACTTTGAAGATGAAAGATGTACGTAATCGTGCACTGAATAGCTAGGAACCACCACAATATATATCTTACGCGTCTGTGGGACTTAACCTAGCTGCTGCAAGACATATTGCGATGACCGACAGAATCAAACGAACTATAGGAAATATCAGAATAAGGAAACAAGCAGCACCAGCTATGCCTATGACCCAGGAGGAAATTGTCCTTCCCGAGGAGTACAAGATAACTAAGGAAGGTGAACCGTTCTGGACGTTTGATCCCGGACCGACGGAAGATAGAATTATTATATTTTCCACCGCTGGAAATCTCCGGTTACTGGCTTCATCTGAACTTTTAAAACAGTGCCTATTTGTTTTGCCAGCTCTACACACTCCATGGCATTCACGTGAGCAGTTTAATTCCGGTTTTGTATGCTCTACTACCAGACAAGACAGAGGCCACATATTTTGGGTTATTACAACAAAGTAAAACAGCTTCTACCGGATGCCTCCCCAGAAACAATTATGACAGACTTCGAGCCTGCCATTATCAGTGCTGTTCGTCAAGAATTTTGAAGGGCTAGACATCGAGAATGTTTCTTCCATTTCTCGCAGTGTATATTCAGAAGGATTCAGGCAGAGAATCTTCCAAGAAAGTACGAAACTGACATCGAATTTGGAATGAAAATGCGATTGTTGTCTGCGTTGGCCTTTGTCCCAACAGAAGATATGGTAGAAGTATTTGAGGTCCTTAGCGGTAGCTGTGATAACATTCCTGAAGAAGCACAAGCCGTGATTAATTACTTGGAGGACTGCTGTATTGGATGTCCTCAACGACGCGTGGGACGCTGAATGTCCCGCTTCTTTCTAGAAATGTTGAACTGTCACGAAGGAGTAAGGCACCGTCTTCTGAAGATAATTCAGTTAAAGGGTGGCATCGTGAATTCGAAATGCAAATATCTGCACAACACCCTAATACCTGGAAGTTTATTGAAGCGACTCAGCGTGAGCAGAGCATCAGAACATTGCAATTAGAACAGTATGTGAGTGGCTAACAAGGTAGCCCTGCGCGTAAGAAATAGAGCGATTGTCTGACAGAATTTTCAAAGTAGTTGCGAATTATGACAGAAATAATGTTTTAAAAGTTTTTTCATTTAAATGATTTCAGTGAAATCTGTCTTTTATTCGAAATTACAGGTACCTACATCATTATCATTTTCAGGCAAATTAATTCGAAATCAGCACGTTTTCTGTTTTTTTTTAGAAATATTTACAATGCTTTTTGATATGAAATAAATTAATGTGCTTGAAAAAGTTTCTCTTGTTTCCCATGGTTTTAAATAAATAAATCATCGGCGATCAGTTGCAGAATCGGTGAATTGTCCTTTCGAGGAATCGGGGAATTGCGGGTCGGGGAATTTTCCAGTCGGAGAACTTTCATAGATCCAGTCGTTACGTCTTTTGATTCCATACCTGACAGCACCAAATGCAATAGAATTTTTTCAGTACAGTGCAGTGGATATTAACTGAGCATTTTTAACGGTCATTCCTCAGTTAATTTTACCATATAAACACTGTACGCATGATGCAAACTACTTCTGTGCAGAACGATGCGTATTGTAAAACCTACTGAACAAGTTCTTCAAGTTCATACCAATTTCATGGAGGTTTTCAGCCAGTGATGTTCGGATACCGTGCAGTCAGAAAATTTATGCACTTCGAGTCAATTACAGTATGGTATGATCTGAGTTTCAGCAGTTATTGATTAAAACCAAAGCACTACAGCTTTGTATAGTCAGGGTGTCAGTTTCGTCATAAGTGTTTTACTTCTGTAGTTTATGTTTCCAGCAGCCTAATCGTGAACGGTAAATCGGTTTTCATACCGATTCTAAACTTTATTTGATCACTTACCAGCACATTAGGATCTTTTGATCCCGGAGTCTATTAAAATTATAGGTGTCTGTTTGGGCGCTCACCGTTTCAATTATACTTTCTTTTGACATCCGGCCTTTCAAAATGAGAAGGCCTTTGTGTACGGTCGTCGCTTTTCCAGATTGAAAATTCACAGCTGAGATGGTTTTGGCACGTGTTGTGAATGCTTCCAGAAAGGAAGACGACTTGGCTAATACTTTATCAACCAAACGGCTGAAGACCTCAGGGAATGTGCAGCATTGCCATGGGACAACTGCCTCCATGAACCCTGCTCTAAACTCAGGGTATCTTCTGCAGAAGCTCAGACTCTGGCATAGAATCGGGAGCATTAGAGATACTATCTGACATGTCTGCGTCTGCGACTGAAAGGATTTAAACTGATTAACTGACACTGGTGATTATTAACTTCCGAGGAAAGAAGTAGGAGCATAGCAACAACATGGATGGCATGAAGAGGTACGTGATCAGTTTGCCCTTACGAAATTCTTCACTGGACTTTGCATGGTGCCTGCATTGCAGATGATATTTATCATTACTTTTAGGCATGTATTAAGTTAGCCTTTGTACACATCGTTAATTTTATGTTGTTAATTGTTTGCACCTTTAAGTGCATTTCTGTTGTCTTTTAGCGAAGTATACTTTAAAGCACCGCACACACTGAAGGCACTTTCGGTTCGACAGGTGAAATCGGAACATATTGGCAAGTTGACTGTGATAAAAGGAGTTTTGACCAGGGCGACGGGCGTTAAGCCAATGGCCTCGGTTATCAGTTATACATGCGACACCTGTGCTTCCGAAATCTATCAGCCGGTAGGTTGTGTCTTACGATTTGTCATTCATAGTACTTTTTCTGAATGCATTAACTTTGTGGACTCAATCGACAGATCGACGGCGACACGTTCAAACTTGCCACCGAATGTCCTAGCCGTCAGTGCAGTGATAATCGAGCCGGGGGTCGTTTGCACATGCAAGTGCGCGGGTCGAAGTTCCTGAAATTTCAAGAACTGGTTATCCAAGAACAGGTGAGCGATTTTGTCCATAAAAGTGGTAAAGGTAGAAGTTCGTCAAACGCCACAACCTGTGATTCAGAACGACCAAATGCCTGTCGGAGGCGTGCCTCGTAGCCTCATCGTTTATGTGACGGGCGAAAACACGCGGCTGACCAGTCCTGGAGACCACGTGCAAATAACAGGCGTGTTTCTGCCACAAGTAAAAACTGGATTTCGTCAGATTATGGCCGGTCTTGTGAGCGATTCATTCTTCGAAGCCCATCACGTCATGAGCCTTTCGAAAAGCGATGATGAGTTCGACGAATCAGAGAAATTGACCGAGGAGGAACTCAGTATCATTGCTGGTATGACGTTTCTGCTTGTATCTTATGAAAAGTCTAATTTTGCCTTGAACGTTGTCTCATTGTGGTATATATAACAGAACACCCCTCAAAAGTGTGCCGCTGCAAATGCAGCTACGTAAATGTTTTTGATTTTTAAAATGAGTTTGAAATATATATTTCCGTCTTCAAAAATACAATTGATAAAGATAAACTGGTCTCGACTTTAACATTATCAGTGCATATATTCAGTTGCGTTAAAAATTCCACGTTTTCCGTTAAGTCTAACCGTGAACTGAGGACAGGACTTGTTTATGTCATATGTGATATCTTCGTGTTTCTTTGCAATTGCTCCCAATGTGCAACAAGACCGAGGTGATAGGGAACGAAGGATCGCGTAGTAGACAAAACAGAATGCGAAAATAACTCTGCTGCTGTTCAGCACAAGGTGCCCTCATAGAGCATGAAATAGGTTGACAACACACCAGGTAAATCTTTGCCGAAAGGAAGT